TGGGCTGCCTCTTGCACACCCCCCTACTGGGGATGTACCCGCAACCAAGGTACATGCCCTTGACCGGAATCGAACCTGGGACCCTTCAGTCCGCAGACCGACGCTCTATCCACTGAGCCAAATCGGCTTTGGCTGGACCTCTAGTTTTAAAATAAAAGACATAGGGTGGCTGAATGGATAACAAAACAAGATTCTTCCTTACATATGCTGTTTACAAGAGATTCACTTCAGATAAAAAAGATACACACAGACTGAAAGTAAAGAGATGGAAAAATATATTTCATGAAAATAAAAACAAAAACAAAAAGCTGGGGAAGTAATACTTATATAAGATAAGATAGACTTTAACACAAAGGTTGTATAACAAGAGACAAAAAAGGACCCAGAAATTCCACTTCTGGTAATTATTTGAAGAAACCTAAGAAACTAAATTAAAAAGACATATGCAGCCCTGATGGGTGCTCTCAACGGTAAGATCATTGACCCCACATACTGAAGAGTCCTGGGTTCAATTATCGGTCAAGGGCACGAACCTGGGCTGCAGGTTTGATCCCTGGCCAGGTCAGAGTGCATGGGAGAAGTGATTTCTCTTCCTTTCTCCCTCTTTTTCATTCTCTCAGTGGTGGAGGGAAATATCCTCGGGTGAGTAATAACAACAACAACAAAAGACATATGCATCCATATGTTCGTTGCAGTATTAATTACAATACCAAGATATGGAAGCAACCTAATTGCCCATCAATAGAACAGATGCATGGATAAAGAATAAATAGTACATATATATAATGAAATATGATTCAACTGCACAAAAGAATAAAATCTTGCATCTGCAACAACATGGATGGGCCTAGTGGGTATTGTGCTGAGTGAAATAAGTTAGATGTATTAGTCAGGTAGGAGAAAGACAAATACTACATGATTTCATTTATACATGCATTCTAAAAATAAATAAATAAATAAGCAGAACATAAGCAGATTCATAAATACAGAGAGCATTTTGACAGTGGTCAGATGGGAGGGAGGTTAGGGAAATGGATGAAAAAGCTGAAGGTATTAAGAAGTACAAATTGATAGTTACAGAATAGTCATGGGGATGTAAAGGACAGCATAAAGAGTATAGTCAATAATATTGTAATTGTGTATGGTGTCAGATGGGTCCTAGAGTGATCAGGGTGATCACTTTGTAAGTTATATAAGTTTCTAATCACTGGGTTATACTCCTGAAAGTAATATAATATAGTAAGTATGTCAACTGTAATTTTAAAAAGTTATTTTAAAAGTAAATAAAATCTGCTGAAGCCGGTTTGGCTCAGTGGTAGAGCGTCGGTCTGGGGACTGAAAGGTTCCAGGTTCGATTCTGGTCAAGGGCATGTACCTTGGTTGCGGGCACATCCCCGGTGGGGGGTGTGCAGGAGGCGGCTGGTCGATGTTTCTCTCTCAGTGACGTTTCTAGCTCTCTATCTCTCTCCCTTTCTCTCTGTTAAAAATCAATAAAATACATTTAAAAAAATTCTACTTCTATAAAAAAATAAATAAAAGTAAATAAAATCTAATATTGAATTTAAAAAATCTTATTATCCTCAGAGAGAAAAGATATTGCATTTTTTATTTTTACTTTTTTAAATATATTTTATTGATTTTTTTACAGAGAGGAAGAGAGAGGGATAGTTAGAAACATCGATCAGCTGCCTCCGGCACACCCCCTAATGGGGATGTGCCTGCAATCAAGGTATATATATCCTTGACTGGAATTGAACCTGGGACCTTCAGTCAGCAGGCCAACGCTCTATCCAGAGACAAACCGGTTTTCACTGCATTTTAAAAAATATATATATTTTATTGATTTTTCACAGAGAGGAAGGGAGAGAGAGAGCTAGAAACGTCAATGAGAGAGAAACATCGACCAGCTGCCTCTTGCACACCCCCTACCGGGGATGTGCCTGCAACCAACGTACATGCCCTTGACTGGAATCGAACCTGGGACCCTTCAGTCCGTAGACTGACGCTCTACCACTGAGCCAAACCAGCTTCGGCTTGCTGCATTTTTTAAAAAATTATATATATATATATATACAAAATAATTTTTCCACTATAAAAGGAGGATATATGAAACCTTCCAGAAAGTTAGGGGGGGGGGGGGAATGACAAATGAGTTGGGGGGTGACCAGGGAATCTCAGCTTTTTTTTTATTTAGATTTATATACATATTTTATTGATTTTTACAGAGAGAAAGGGAGAGAGTTAGTTAGAAACATAGATCAGCTGCTTCCTGCATGCCTCCTACTGGGGATGTGCCTGCAACCTAGGTACATGCCCTTGGTTGGAATCGAACCTGGGACCTTTCAGTCCACAGGCCGACGCTCTATCCACTGAGCCAAACCGGTCAGGGTGAGCCTCAGCTTTATGTATAAGATTTTAATATTTTGCAAGGAGGATGCAGTCACATTACTTTTGTAATTAGGAAATTGAGCATGTAGCAATCTCTGAAAAGCCTCTGGCATACAGCAGATCCCTGGAGTTTCTCTCCTCTCCAGGAACCCAGGGCTTGGCAGGCAGCTCAAAGCCTTCCTGGCCTCAGCCAGAGGTCATAGTATGAGCAGCTGATTGGATGGGATGGTGTGGTGCTGGCCCCTGGATCTGAATTCCAAGCAGCATTCCCAAGGGCGTGCTTCTTTTGTCTCTAACTAGAAGGCCTTGATTTACATGCTGTGTTGAGGGACACACAAGATCTCTGAAATTCATGACTATTTTGGCCTGGTTTGACTCATGTGGATGAAGCAAGTTCATTATGTGGAAATGACCCAGCCCCCTTTCGTCCCAACTTCTCAGCCAGATATGTTAGGAGAGGAGAAAAAAAATGAGAAATGAAAAACCTTTATTAAGCATCAACTACATCTGAATCGCCAGAGGTGCTAGTTAGAGGGGTGCTTGGGCCGCTCCTGCAGCCTTTGAATAAACTTGGCAGTGGGGCTGAGATTCAGTTGACAAGCCCTGAAGCAGGTAAATGTAGAAGCCAGATCTCAGTTACACAAATACATGACCTTATTCTCCTTTATTTCAACTTACCCTTTCGGGGTCTCCATTCTACCTGCTTGAAGAAAACACTCCCTTACTCATTTCCAGTTGAGGTGTGTCATCCCACCCCTCTCTTTCTCCTGCCTCCACTATTGATCTAAATTTGGGGAGTTCCTTAACACAGCAGAGATAAATTCTCCCAGTCCCTGACTCCATGGACCACACATGCTCTCATTTCTGCTCCGCTGCAATAGCACGGCCAGCTCTCCACGCCGCACCCCGCAGCAGCCCTGCCGCATGAGATTTACCTCAGGTTCTGTCCCTTTCATGTCCTGGACTCCGCCATAGGTGGAAATGGGATCAAGCCCAAACCAGTGTCTGACATCTTGTCTGGTCCTCGGCTAGCTTCTCAGCTAGTTCAGGGAGGGTGTTGGGGCAGAGCTGGGAGGGGATCTGCCTGTGTGTACCTCCTCCCAACTCCCCTGTCCACCCAGGCACTGTGGCGTTTGAACTTAAAAGCTTAGACTTTGGTATTTTTGTTCTCTGGCTGGAAAGTGGAGTCGTCTCAGGACCAAAAAGCAAGAGCTAGCCCCCCACAGCGGGATTTGACGCCACCACGGGAGCCGCTCTTTTCTTCCTTTTCACATAGGCTGAGCCACTAGCCATTGTGTGTCCGTGCAAAGGATCAGGGAAGCGGCTGCTTCTCAGAGGAGGAGGGAGTGGAGAGCGTTTTATCCCAGCTCTGCTGAGTCCCCACACCCGACACACAGGCTCCCTCCCTGCCCCCGCCAGGAAAGGACACCTCTGGTGACACAGGCTTCTGCAGGGCGGGGGTGGGTGTGCGTGGGGGCGGTTCTCACACCTGGAGGCCCTGGGAAGCCAGAGGGGGCAGGGAAGAAGCCGGCTCTTGTTTGTCTCAGAGGCCTAGGCCACCAGCCTCCCCTTCTCTTCCAGGGTTACAATGACACCCCCCAAAAAAAATAGGGCTCCCCTAAGACGGCCCCTTCATCTTGAAAGCTGCCTTCATCTCCTCCCCCGCAGAGGCAGTTCACCTGCTCCTATTCCCTCCGGGCTGAGGTGCCAGGCCTGCGGGGATGAGCTGGGTGGGCCCGTGCGGCTGCAGGGTCTGCTCACAGGATCTACGGAGAGATCCGTCAGGGATGGAAGGGGCACGGATCACCTTCTCCACCACGTTCCAGATCGAGCCATTTAACAGACACATTTAGTGCTTACACAGCTAATGTATTTTGGGCGCGGAGACAGGGCTGGAACTGTCCAAGGTCAGACCTCTGAGACCAATCCGCACGTAAAGTAGTGCCACTAACCGGGGTACAGCAGGCGCCCCCTTTGCCTATTATTGTTCTCTTTCCGCCAAAACAACAAAGCAAAGCAAAAAAAAAAAAAAAAAGCAACACAAAAACAAAAACCTTGTTCCTTTTGGCCCAGCCCTGTGCTGAGGGAAAAAGGCCGAGCCCTCCTCTGGAGGCCAGAGCAGCTGCCAGAGCGAGGCCCGGCGTCTGCAGCCGCCGACTGCGGGGGCTCTGCCCTCCTCCCGGGGCGCTGGGCGCTGGGCTCGCCCTCCCTCATGGGGCCTCGCCGGCCAAGTCCCCCCCGGCGGGGCGCCAGGGTGAGCAGGGGCAACTGTCTCCCTCCTGGCGCCTTGGCTGGGGGTGGAGGGAGAGCTGCGTCGCTCCTCTTCGGGACCCGGGGAGGGAGACGTCCGCCGCCGCCGCAGAGGTCCCGGCTGTCCGCATGGCGCGGCCTGCACTGGCCTTTCCGGTTTCCCGCCCCCAGCCCGGCCCAGGGCTGCAGGCGGGTCGCCAGGCGGTGGGCGCTGGGCACAGGGGAGGCCCGGAGCTGCGGGGGCGGCGGTGCGGGCTCCGGGCCGGAAGGGCGGGCGGGCGCGGGGCGGGCGGTGTGAGGTGCGGCCACGCCCCCCGCCGCCCGCCCCGCCCCCGCGCCCGCTCCGGGCCAGTCGCCGCCGCGCCCCGCCCCCGCCGCAGTGCCCGGATGTGGGTGACGCGCGGCCGCCATCTTCCCGTCCCCGGCAGCCAGCGCCAGTCGGAGCCAGCGCGAGCCGCCGCCGCTGCCGCCGCCGCCGCCGCCGCCGCCGAGTCCTGCGCCCGCTGCCCGCGCCATGTGAGTCTGCCGCCCTTGTCCTTCCCGGAGGCCCGAGCCGCCCGCCGCCCCGGCCCCGGCCCCGGCCCCCGGGTTCCACCCGCGCCCCTCGCGCTCCGCGCGCCGGAGGCCAGGCCGGCGCCCGTGACTGCGCGCGGGCGGGCGGTGGCCGCCGGAGGGAGCGGACCCGGGGTCTGTCCGCCGCCCCGCCCGCCCCGCCGCCGCTGCCATCGCTGCCGCCGGACATTGCGGATCGCCCCCGGACCATGTCTGTGAGGTCGCCTGCGTTGGACAGGCGGGGAAACCGAGGCCCGGAGGGGGAAGGGGGCTCCACTCAAGGTCACGCAGCTGCTCGGCGGCGAGGCCGGACGGGATCCGGGGCTCGCATCGGGTGGCCTTCCTCCCGGGAAGGAAAAAGGGAGGGAGGGAGGGATGGACAGGCGGATGGGCGGAGCCCTGACTGCGGGGCCGGAGGATCCGGGCCCCGGGTCTCAATCCGTCTCCGCCCCTCAGGTCGGCTACCGCAGCCACCGCCCCCCCTGCCGCCCCGGCTGGGGAGGGGGGTCCCCCGGGGCCCCCTCCAAATCTCACCAGTAACAGAAGACTGCAGCAGACGCAGGCCCAGGTGGATGAGGTGAGTTGGGGTGGGGGATGCCAAAGGCAATGGGAAGGAGGGACCCTGAGGGTTGGCAAACGAGTGTGGGGGGTCCACTTGGGCTGGGGGCGATCACAGTTCATATTTTATGAGTTTTGGAACAAAGATACCATGCCCCATTCCTGTCAGCGTGCGCTAGGAGGGTTAGCCTTGCTATCCTGGGGTATTTCAGCCAGGGGGCAGGCCACCTGAAACTCCATAAATAAAAGGTGCTGCTGTGACAGCTGAGATGTCTATCAGCATGCCCCTGATGTGTGCTCCTGGCGTGCCCCAGGTGTGTTAGGCATGTTCTGTGTGTGCCCTTGGCGTGTTAACCTGGAAACATCGGGATGCATGTTTTTATATGTGAGCACATGGTCCAGGAGTGCCCTCATTGAGGCTCCCCTCCCAGGTGGTGGACATCATGAGGGTGAACGTGGACAAGGTCCTGGAGCGGGACCAGAAGCTGTCGGAGCTGGACGACCGTGCGGATGCACTTCAGGCAGGGGCCTCCCAGTTTGAAACAAGCGCAGCCAAGCTCAAGCGCAAATACTGGTGGAAAAACCTCAAGGTAAGGGTGGAACCATTGGGACTGGAGGTGAATGGGGGTTTCATGGTCTGTCTCACTGACCCTCCCCTCCCCTCTCGTCTGCAGATGATGATCATCTTGGGAGTGATTTGCGCCATCATCCTCATCATCATCATTGGTGAGTAGGACGGGAGTAGCTAGGGCCCTTTGATGAGATTTCCCCTGTAAGATCTGGGTTTTGAAGGTCATTAACCTAGTTTTTTACTATTTAACACAAAGCATATAAAGCTGCCAATGGCAGTCCTGATTCATCTAGAGCCCCAAACCTTGATGTTGTTTAGTCTGCACTTTTCCTGGTTGTGGGCAAATCTGTTGAGATTTTTGGAAACAGGAAAGCTGGTGGATCCCACTGCTCTTGTGAGGGCATTTTGGGCCTAAGACCCCCAGTCTGGGAACCCTGGATTTGGGGGGTAGGAGAGCAGGAAAGGCCCTTGGGCTTGAGACATGGCTAGGAAGCCAACCACCCATTTGGTGAAGAGCTTGTGGTCTCAGAGGCCCGGAGCGCTCCCGGTCTGTCCCCAGGCCATCCCGTGGGTTTGAAGAGACCTTGGAACCCACCTGTCCAGCCCCTTGCTTTACAGGTGGAGAACCTGAGTCCCAAAGGGGAAGGGATGTCAGCCAGCTGGGGAGTGGGTAGAGGGGGGAGCAAGGCCAGGCCTGACACACTGCTTTCTCTCCTCTCTTTCTCCCCTCTCCCTCTTCCTTCTCTTCCTTCTCTATAGTTTACTTCAGCTCTTAAACCCCAGAGGAGCCAGCCCAGAGAAGGGCCTCTCCCCCCACCCATCCCCAGCCGCTCCTCCACCTCTCAGCCATATCTTCCAGCCCCCCCATCTGTGTGTGTGTCCGTGTGTGTGCCCTCCTGTAAATAGCCAGCTGTTATTTATACATATATAATATTATATATATTTGGTCTGTTTGTAGTTTTATTACTAGAAGATTTTTCCGGTTGTCCTTAACACCCCTTCCTGAGTTCCCATTGCCTTTCTCTTTCCCTCCTTCCCTCCCTCTTTTCCTGACCAGCCCTAAGTCCCTTCATTTGCATCTGCTATGCAATAGTCCCTCTTCCTCTCCTTTCCTTGGATTCAGCTGATCCTTCCACCCTGGCCTTCCCCATATCTTCACCCCCTACAAAACAACTAAAAGCAATTGTCCAGGCCTCCCTAGGTGCATCTTCTTTGCATTATTTGGGAGGCTCTGAGACTGGCCCCACTTGGTCCTAAGAATCCCAAGGTCTGGGAGCTTCCAGCATGTTAATTAGCATTCATGTGCATATTGGCAACCCTTTTGGTTTCCTTTTTTGTTACATCACTCTGTTCATTCTTTCAACCTGTGTTTTTGTTTTGTTTTGTTTGTTTTTTCACTGAGGAGTTAGTCCCCACTTGTCCTTGTATCACACTTTCATTTGCATGACATTAATTGTAGGTGTTGGGGAGCCTGGGCTTTTGGGAAGCCAGGCTGTTCTGGCCCCCAGAATTATCCCTTCCTAGCCCCTCTAGTCCAGTTTGCCTCTGCTCCCTCTATTTTCCAAACCTCTTGTCCCCACCTCTCCCTCCCCTGAGCTGGTGTGTAAGTGTTTTGGAGTTCAGTATGTTATGATGGATCGATATTTCTGCCACTTGAAGTTTCTCCCCACATTCTTGATCCCCAGTTTTCATGTGGGGCGCTCAACTGACATTCCCATGGGGTCTCCCTCCCTCCCGTCTGCCTGATCTTCCCCCTCCTCCTCCCACCAGGAGAGTTGGGGGTTGGCCACAATCTGGTCTGTTTTGGGAGAGGTGGCTGCCAGTGTCTGAAGGGTCATCACTGCCTTGGAGAGGAGTGGAGCAGGGCAGAGAATCTCCCTAATTCCTGCTGGAAGTCTCCTCTGGCCCCACCCCTGCTGGGGACTGGACTGAAAACCCTCCTCCCCAGTTTGGAGGGTGTTGCCTCCTTCACTGCCCAGCTCCTCTGACTGCCCCCCCTGAATTCAGGGCGGGGGGGTACTAGTCACTGCCAATGTGTAGGATTTGCTGGAAGATGAGGGTTCTTGCCCCTCTCCATGGTGGTCAAGCCCAGAGAGAGACCTGTCTTCTCATTAGGTGAAGTGATAGAGGAAGGATCTAATGTCTTTTTAAATGGCACAATTTTGGGGGGGTCTGAGGGTATAGTCCCTTAAACTGTCACTGGAGGGGACCCCCCCCCCAAAAAAAAAACTCTTTCCCCCACACTCAAGGTTTCTGTGTGGATAGGGAGCAGGGAGATCTAAACTGTTGTGTGAAAGGGTAGGGAGAGATGCTGGGGTTGGGGATGCTGTGCTCTAGATCCCCCCATACTATCCCAGTGTCCCCTGCCTCCCTCCTTCCCTCACTCCATGCCCCCAATTCTGTGGCGCATCCAGATTGTGAAAATGTACAATAAATGTGTAATGAGTAAGTGGTGTCTAAGATTTTTTTCTTCACCAGTAGGAAAGGTACTGGGTCTTCATGTATAACAGGAATGTTAAGAATATACATTGGGGCCTAACCCGGTTTGGCTCAGTGGATGGAGTGTTGGCCTGTGGACTCAAGGGTCCCAGGTTTGATTCCGGTCAAGGGCATGTACCTTGGTTGCAGGCACATCCCCAAGAGGTAACTGGTCGATGATTCTCTCATCGATGTTTCTAACTCTCTATCCCTCTCTCTATCTCTCTGTAAAAAATCAATAAAATAGCTGAGACCGGTTTGGCTCAGTGGATAGAGCGTCGGCTTGGGGACCGAGGGGTCCCGGGTTCGATTCCTGTCAAGGGCATGTACCTTGGTTGCGGGCATATCCCCAGTGGGGAGTGTGCAAGAGGCAGCTGATCGATGACTCTGTCTCATTGATGTCTCTAACTCTGTATCTCTCTCCCTTCCTCTCTGTACAAAATCAATAAAATATATCAAAAAAAAATCAATAAAATATATTTAAAGAAAAAAAAACCCTCTATTGGAGGGCCTGACCTTGGGCAGGGCAAAGTGTGATTCCTAAAATGTCCATCAGGGGGCACCAAGCTTCAATGAGAAGTGTTGATCCCCGTGTCTCATCCTGGTGAACCCTGAAGTCTGTTTCCCAGCTTTCCCTTCTCCCTTGCCTGAGGGTATGCTCTTGCCCTTTGTTTGGATTTTTTTTTTTTTCTAAAAAAGTTATTTTTTTAAAATCAATCTTTATTGTTCATATTATTACAAAGGTTCCTCATTTCTTCCCCCCTCCACCAGGTTCCCACCCCACCCTCCGCCCCCTCCTCATCCCCCATTGTCCTCATCCATAGGTGCACAGTTTATGTTCAGTCTCTTCCCCCCTCCCCCACTCCCCCTTTCCCCGAGAACAGTCAGTCCACTCCCCTCCCATATCGCCTTTACCCCTTGATTTAACTCCCAGATGCTGTGCAGTTGTCTTCTGTAGTTATTTCCTCCTAGGCCTGAAGTAAATGGCCAACTTATATGAAATATCTCTTCCCCTTTGTGCCTAGCACAGTGCCAGCACCCAGAGGGTTAATAAATACTTCTTGAACAAGGCCCTGGCCTGGTAGCTTGGTTGGTTCGAGTGTAGTCCCAATATAAGGTTGCGGGTTTGATTCCTGGTCAGGGCACATAACAAGAAGCAACCAATGAATGCATAAATAAGTGGAACGACAAATTGATCTCTCTCAACAAATCAGCCTACGGAGACCCAGCTGAAGGTGGTGTGGAGCTGGCTAGAGATGGCCTATTGCCCCTGCACTCTGTTGTTCTACACTGGACTCTAGTCCCTGATGTGGCACCCTAACATTCTTGTCCCCAAATGCCTTACAATGGGTGGAGAATGCTAGAAAAGCTTGTGGGGGCCGACTTCTCTGGGCTGCGGGCAACCTAGTGTTTCCCAAACTTGTTGGCTCCCAAGAACTACCAGGAGTGCTTTTTTAAAAATTATTTTTTTAAGAATGCTTTTAAAAATATTTTTTTATGCCCTGTTGTTCAGTGGTTAGAGTAGGGGTGTCGAACTCAATCAGAGAAGGGGCCAAAATCTAAAATCCAGCCTAAATCGCGGACCGAATGGTTTACTGAACAGTCATAAACTGTCATTGTGATGGAAACGCAGCGGAGTGCAGTGATGACAGCGCGGTGCGGGCCACATTGCAAGGCCTGGCGGGACGGATTTGGCCCGCGGGCCTTGTGTTGACACATGTGGGTTAGAGGGTTGGCCTGCACACCAAAGGTTCCTGAGTTTGATTCCCCAGCATGGGTAAGATCCCCCACCAGTCTGTGTGTATCACATTGATGTTTCTCTCCCTCTGCCTTCCTCCCACTCTAGGTAGAGCAATGGAAAAAATACCCTCTGGTAAGGATTAATAATAAATAAATGAATGATAGGGTTTTTTAAAAAACATATTTTTTTGATTTCAGAGAGGAAGAGAGAAATAGAAACATCCTGCACACCTACTGGGGATGGAGCCTGCAACCCAGGCACGTACCATTGAAGGAATCAAACCCAGGACCCTTCAGTGTACAGGCCGTTTCCAGTGAGCCAAACTAGCCAGACAAATAATAGATTTTTGGGCTCCTTCTCTGGAGATTCTGATTCGGCAGTTCTAAGGAGCTGCAGTGATTCTTATAATTAGGTACACGGTTATTTATTGAGGGTTTATTATATTCCAGTTAGTCTTCAGGGCTTTTTCCCATTTCATCTACTGAATATTTTCAAAGTTTAGGGTTCCCATAGGTCCTAGGACCTGCCTTCTTTATAGTGCTAGGGACCTGGGTTCAAATTTTGCCCCCTTTGCTTACTGGTGTGCTAACCAGAGCAGATTATGTAATCTTTCTGGATCTCCATCTCATTTGTGAAGCAGTTGGTAGTAAGCTGTTCTGCTCTGGGTTTGTGAGAAGCACCTAGCCTGGTCCATAGGAAATCTAGGATCCTCTTGCATGGAACTGATCTAATACCTCTTCATCCTGGAGCTCACACCTTCCAGCTTTTGGGAGCCAGGCCAAGGCTGGGGGCGGGGCGGGGCGGGGCGCTCTTTTCACCCTGGGACCTCTCACGGGTTCTCTGGCACCAAGCGCCCGAATCGAAGCCACTGTCGCACACAACTGCGCCTGCGTGCAGGTCACACTCATTGCGCCTGCGCAGACTCCGCCTTGAGTAGTGAGTGTCAAGGAAAATCCCCAGCTTCTGGGTAAACAAGTAGCCGCGTGAGGCCGCCTGCACGTGTCCTCTACAGCTCCAAGGCCTCTCGGCCTATGAGAAAGTGTGGGGGGCGGGGCTAGCATGTGCGTCACCGACCGAGGCTGATTGCCACAGCCAATAGGAACTTCGGAAGTGGTTGTGGGAGCGGCTTTCTGTCAATCATTGCGTGCCGGGTGCGGCCCCTCCCAATGTGGATTTGTCACTGCGGATTGGTAAATGGACCAATGAGGAGATGATGGCGGCGGGCTGTGCCAATGGTGGCTGAGTGGAGGCCTGGCAAAGGCACGAGGCGTTGGGCATGGATCCGCGCCCTTAGGCCAATAAGCTCGAGGGGCGTGGCATCCCAGCGGGTGGGCGGGCCTGGAGGAGCGAGTCCCCGTGTCTGTAGTCCTAGTTGGGAAGAGATTGGATTCGGCGTGCTCGACAAGCGGTGAGTACTCACGATTGGGGGTAGAAGAGCGGTGGTCAGTTTTTCCGGGGTGCTGTGTGCTGTCAGTAGGGATGTTAATGGAGTGTGTGGGGAGGATCCTGCGAATGCATGATCGCGGCCTGGGGGCCCTGATAGTTGTGGGGAATAGGGACCAGAACTCAACGTTAGAGGGACTAGTTGGGGGTTCAATTCCTTCACCATTCTAAGGCACCTGGACCCCAGACTGACTGGGAGGGGGGGCTCGGCAGCCCTCTGCGACATGAGGGTGCTGAGACCCCTGGGATCCCTGAGAGTGGATGGGGCGTTCCAGTGTGTGGCTGCTGTTTGTTATGTGTCTTAAGCACTTGAAAGAGGCAGAGGTTCTGAGGCTGCTGGGACGCCCTGATAGGGAACTGGAACGGCTGCACATGGTGATGATTTGTGTGACCCTGAGCCAGTCACACCAGGGCTCTGAATGTCTTGTGTGTAAAGGGAAGGGTTAGGCCTGGGAGCCATCGTTGGGAGTAAAGATCAGGTAGCAACTGTTGGATCCTGAGAGGGACGGTGGTTTTGTATCGTTTAGCTGTGCACACATCTTCCTCAGGCCCTGGAGATGAAGAGGAACCAACAGGGTGCTCTGGTAACTGTACAAACAATAGGCCTGTGGTAAAGGGACCTGGGGTAGGATGGAAGAGTGAGGAAGTGGGGTTCCTAGGAAATCACTGGGTCTGGTAGCTGCTAGGATGATCTCAAGGACTTTGTGCACATGTGAAAATTGGGGCTTTGGTGACTTGAAGTGTGTGGAGCATGCAAACTGAATGTCCCAAATGAGAGGGGGGTTTGGATGGGGTCTGTGTTCCAGGCACCAAGCTCAGAATTGGCTGGATGTTTGAGAGGTTCCGGTTCCCCAGTGCTGATTAACCTCACAGGTTTCAGAAAACTAAAAAGCCAGAATTGCAAGCCATTATCACAGGTCACATTTGAACTCTGGCTCTATTTGTTAAGAGCCTGAGAATTGTTATGAGACAATTTAGTAAAGTTTAGTAACTTATGAGCTTCAGTGGGTCCTTTGGGTAGTAATACCCATCTCACAGTGTTACTATGAAGATTAAATAAGATAATGTATGCAAAGTGCTTGACAAAATGCCTGGGTTGTGTTTTTAAAATTATTTAGCTAAAAATATGCCTATAGGATGACAAAACAGCAATAGGGCGAGAGATTTATGTGAATGCTGTGGTTAGGAACTATTCTCACATCCTTGAGTTTTTCCGCCAGTTTTGGTGACTCCCTCCCTCTTTCCCTCTTTCTGGTTCTGGTCTTCAGGCACCAGCCCAAAACCCTCTCCCAGGATCCAGGCCCTAGGCTGAGCCACTTGCTTTCCCAGTTGATTTCCTCATCCTAGACTCATTCTCCACCCTGCCCCTCCTTCTTTGGTGCCATAGTAACGAGAGATTCAGGCTCTGAAGGGGGCCTCGCAAGAGCAAAGGTGCGTGTGTTTGCTCACAGAACCCGGCCTTCCTGGGATTGCGCCAGCAGATGTGTACAGTTGGGAGAGGGGAAAAGGCAGGGCCAGGAGCTGCAGGGACAAGCCCAGGGGAGGGCGATGCGTGTCTGCAGAGAGCGGGGGAGGAGGGACCCCTTCTAATCCTCTCTCCAGGAATCCCTGGCTTTGGGACAGGACGGCTGTTGTTGGGTTGTGGGAGGCGCTCGGGCTTGGTGCATGTCCTGGGCCACCCGCCAAAAGAACACGATGTTCCCAAGTGCGCTGGCCGCCGCCCTCAGGGTCTGGCCGCCAGCCAAACCACTGCCTCCCCAGCCGCCCTGCCCCACATTCCCCGGCCTCCTCGCCCCGCCCTGCCCCGATCCTCCGCTTTGACGTCACCCTGCCTCCCGCCCCCTCTCCTCCATTGACGGCAGCAGGGCCTGTTACTGTGGGGACCGGGAGGCAGGACAACCAGGGCCGTGGGAGCCGGTGAGCGCTGCGGAGGCTCTGAACCCTTTGTCTATGCAAAAAAATAAATATGGAGGTGTAGGTGGGAGAGCAAGGACTGCCTTGTGTCAGGAGAGATTACACCTTTACCCTGAGGAGCGCTGCTGGGAGGAAGGAAAATGTTTCCCGAGAAGAGATGTCTGAAAATGAGACAAGGGATGGGGCCACAGCTTGTGAGTTGGGGGCACAGATTCAAGAAGAGAAGACTGAAAGCCCAGGTGCTGCTTGTGTCTTCTTGCTTTGGTTTTTCTAGGTTATTTTATATCCTCCCTCCCAGCTTTTCCACAGAGCCTTCCCCCTGGCACCCAGTGGGGAGCAGGGGGAAGGCTCTGTGACAGCGAGGAGAGTGATTGGGTCAGCATCGCTGGGGTGAGGGGCTGCCACCCCCACCTTCAGGGAGCCCGAGAGCACTACGCATTACAGTCCTGGATGGAAGGAGTCTGTTCCTGCAGCTCTCCTGGGCCTACCCTGGTGCTGTATTCCCCAAATCAGCCCCTGGTCTGTTTTTAGGACTCAGCGTTTTGCTCCTCCTTCTTTTAAAAAAGTTGTAATTTTCAGTCCCTCTCCGGAGCTGAGTCCCTTTCCCCTCCCCTATCAGTGTTAACAACAAAATCATGGTTTTTACTGATCACCTGCCATGTGTCAGCTTCTGTGCTAGGGTCTGGGGAATACAGCGAAGTAGAGAGATGATGTTCTTGGCTTTCTCTTTTCCTCACGGTGGAGATCTGAAGCCCTTGCCACCAGACTCTTTTCTGTCTAGGGTCCCAGTTGGTCTTTTTTTCTCAGGTATCCCTTTCGTTTCTCTAACCCTGGGTTTTAGCCCTCCACTTCTGGGGCAGCTCTAACTGAGGGTAGCTGTATCCTGAGGAGAGAAGCACTAGTCACCACACAGGCTGCCTAGGCCTCGAGACCTTTCCTCTGATTGGCCACAGGAGCACCTGCCATTGTTTCCCTTCACACCTCCCACTGGCTCTGGCTGCCTTTGTATTGTGCGTATCCGCCACCAGCAGCACCACACTTCATCATATCTGGATTCTCAATTGCCTTCCTCCTAGCAGTGTAAGGATTGGAAGTGTCAGAGGGAGGAGTTGGGTAAGACAGCTTTATTATAATGACAAGGCTGAGAAAGGGAACCCAGGACAAGTCAGGCCAAGTGTCTGTCCCCCTCCTTTCAGGGACCAGCCTTGTCATCCAGCTTGATCCTCCTCCCAGGGTCTGTGTTCCCTTGTCCCACCCCTAGTGTCCTGCAGGGCTGATCAGTTCAGTGAGCGGACATCTCTTACATACGAATGTATTCCGGGCATGTTCCCGGAAGAGGGGCGGCTTACCTCCCTTCCTTTCAGTATTCATTGTACAAGGCGTCCCCGCTCATTGGCTGGTGGGTAATGTCTGTGCCAGCACCCAGATCCACGTGCACCCGCGTGTGTGACACAGCCCTGACCTCAGTGGGGGCCAGTAGCCAATCAGGTGCCAGGACAAGAGCCCCAGCCAGTGGGGGCGGGGCCTGGGCGCCGCGGCAGGAGGCCAATGAGGGGCAGAGCCTGGCATTATGCAATCCACCTCCTGCCCCGGGAGCTTCCATTCGGCGGCGGCTGCACCGGCGGCAGCAGGGGCCGGAGGACGCTCGCGCGGACAGGTAGGCGTCTCCATGACCCCCGTCCCCCCGGAGCCGGTTACCAGCTCCAAATCGGATCGCCCCCACTTACAGCCTGATATGCTGTTTCCGGCCCGGGAGTTCAGACAGCAGACCAATAATCCGTCTTCCTTTACCGATGTCCACACCCTCTCAGCCCCCCTGGGACCCAGGTGTTGTTCCTTGCAACCCTGCACCGGCTGCCTGTACTCTGACCCTCTTACCTTACCTTACCTCCGCTTTGCCCCCCCCCCCCCCCCCGCCCCGCTCCCAGCTCTTCCGGTCCCACGCCCGACCCTCAGCAGGAACGACCCCTGCCGTCTTTTTTGTCACCCGGGGTCCCCGGTTTAGCCGCGGTACCGGACCCCTTCTGGGTTTCTGTGCTCCCTGCACTCCCCCCTCAACCCCTGGCCCGGCGCCGGCCGTGATGTCAGTCCGTTTCGGGCTGGAACATCCCGTTCTCGGTGCTAGTTCTTGCTGTTGGCCACAGCTTTCCTTTGGCTCAGAAAATGCTCGGGGTTTGGGGGTGTGGTTGGACCGAGAGTAGGAGAAGAAATATCCGCTGGCTGTGTGTATCCCGTGCTCAGAGCGGAGTGTGTCTGCTTCGGATGGGGGTGGGGTATGCGTCCAGGAAATTCGCGGGCTGAGGTGAAAGGATTCCCGGGTCCCTGACAGAGGCAGGTGCCAGCTTCGGTTTGGGGGGGAGAGGGGTTGGGTGAGGGTGGAGGGGCCAGATAACGTGAGGCCGAGAGATCTTGACCAGAATGAGTGGAATCCAGGCGAGCGCCAGGCTGTGGGGCTTTTTGCGGAGGGCAGTGGCCGTTGCCAGCTCGCGGGGTCCCGGCAGGCTACCCCTCTCAGGGAACCGGGAGATGGTAGAGGTGGGCGAACCCTCGCCACGCTCGCCTGCGCGCCTGTGTGGGAGTAGGTCCGTCGTCGTCTTCCGCTGGGAAGTGGGGGAGGGTCGCCCTTCCCGCCCTCCTGTGGTCCCTCCAGCAACCGCTGAGCTCAGCGGCTGACGTCGGTTTCCCTGGTGACCGCGGTGGCGGCGGAAGCGCCGTGGTGGGGCGCACGGGTCTCCGCGCATGTGCAGCGGAGATGGCCCCGCCCCCTGATAAAATTAGCCGGGAGACCTAAATATAGGAGGCGACGGGCTCGCCGGGCGCCCAGCGGCCTTGGAGTCCTAGGCAGAGTGGGAGCCAGATGGGAATTTGGGGCTGGAAGATGTCCAGTTTGGCCCACAGCCGTGGTTTTAGTAGACTGCTCAGGCTCTACTTACCCAGGCCACGCTGGCAAGGGTAGTGGGAAAGCCAAAGAAAGGTCCCTTCCCACCTCCAACCCCCTACCAGGACCAGAAACTGAACTCAACTAGCTTCCTATTAGAAGCCCGGGTCCCGGGAGCCTGGGGGCAGGAGGATCTGAGTGTAGCGGCTACTGTCCAGTTAACAGCCCCGCTTTCTCTAAGCCCTCTTTTCTGGTCTTCCTCTCCAGGTACTGACCTGTGACCAAACTTCTCAATTCTCAGAGACTTGAGTCTCTCTCTTCACTCCCCAGCCAGGCCTCCTGGCCCCCTTGTGCATCCGTGGTGGCCTCTCCATCATCGCTGTTTTCCACCTGCCCTCCCCATGGCCCAGACATGAGTAGCTCCCTAGAAGGGGCTGATGGGGGAGGGGACCCCAGGCCAGGCGAATCCTTTTGTCCTGGAGGGGCGCCTTCCCCTGGGCCTCCGCAGCACAGGTCTTGCCCTGGCCCCAGCTTGGCTGATGACACCGATGCCAACAGCAATGGCTCAAGTGGCAATGAGTCCAACGGGCATGAGTCCAGGGGTGCATCTCAGCGGAGCTCACATAGCTCCTCCTCTGGCAACGGCAAGGACTCAGCCCTGCTGGAGACCACTGAGAGCAGCAAGAGGTGCGTACAGACATGTGTGACGGGGGCTGGGCGTGGTCTGATGAGCAGGCTGAGCCCGGAGAACGGCTTTCTCCTCAACGTGGGCCTGTTGCTACTCCCTTAGCACAAACTCTCAGAGCCCGTCCCCACCCAGCAGTTCCGTTGCCTACAGCCTCCTAAGTGCCAGCTCAGAACAGGACAACCCATCTACCAGTGGCTGCAGGTGTGTGGGCTCAGGGCTGGGGAAGAGGCCTGGGGGCTGGGCCGTGCTTTGAGGCTCATGCCTATGCCCCTTCCCTCCCTCTGGGCCTTGCAGCAGCGAACAGTCAGCCCGCGCAAGGACCCAGAAGGAACTCATGACAGCGCTGCGGGAGCTCAAGCTCCGGCTGCCGCCAGAGCGCCGGGGCAAGGGCCGCTCCGGGACGCTGGCCACACTGCAGTACGCACTGGCCTGTGTCAAGCAGGTGCAGGGTGAGTGGTGCTTCCTGGGAGGACAGTGGCCGGATCCCGGGTTTCTGTGGGGGAGCCATCTCACTGAGTGTCCCCCTGCCCTCACCCTGTAGCCAACCAGGAGTACTACCAGCAGTGGAGCCTGGAGGAAGGTGAGGCGTGTGCCATGGACATGTCCACCTACACTCTGGAGGAGCTGGAGCACATCACGTCCGAGTACACGCTTCGCAACCAGGTCAGCGGCAGCCCCTCCTCTCGGTCCTCACTCACCCTCATCCCCGCCCCCACGGCCTCTGAGTCCGCCCTTGTCTTCCCTCTGCTGCCCAGGATACCTTCTCCGTGGCCGTCTCCTTCCTGACGGGCCGAATCGTCTACGTTTCGGAGCAGGCAGGTGTCCTGCTGCACTGCAAGCAGGACGTGTTCCGGGGCGCCCGCTTCTCAGAGCTCCTGGCTCCCCAGGATGTGGGCGTCTTCTATGGTTCCACGGCCCCGTCTCGCCTGCCCGTCTGGGGCATGGGGGCTTCGGCAGGTGAGGTCCCCAGGGGCTCGGGGGACAGATGAGCAGTTGCCGGAAGCTCATTCTATGAGGAACCGGAAGCCCAGGCTTTTCCTTGCTGGGTTCCTCCCAGCCCAGGAGGGGCCTGGGGCTGTGCTCACCTCTCTCCCCATCTCTCCCAGATTCAGGCGTCAAGGACTTCACCCAGGAGAAGTCTGTCTTTTGCCGTATCAGGTAGGCGGGAGCAGACCCCTCCACCTTCCACACACATTCCTTCTTCGCTGTGTGGACCCTGACCGCGAGGCGGGGGGTGGGTGGCCTTCCCTGATGGTCACTAACGCCTTTTTTCTCCCTTGGCTAGAGGAGGCCCCGACAGGGACCCAGGGCCGCGCTACCAGCCGTTCCGCCTGACCCCATATGTGACCAAAATCCGGGTCTCAGAAGGGGCTCCCGCACAGCCATGCTGCCTGCTCATTGCAGAGCGAATCCACTCGGGTTATGAAGGTGGGCAGGCCTGTTGGGGGTGGAAGGAGGGTACCTTCTCTGGTTTGGGGGTGAAGCAGGACATGAGTTTGGGAGGCAGGAGCCACTGGGAATTTTGGACCGAGAAGGTATTACAAAGATGAGGCTTTGAAGCCTGCTTTATAGGTAGAGTTGGCTAAGAGCCCAAACCAGGAGAGGGCAAAGCAGTGTGCCTTGCTCTCGCTCATTACTGGTATGGCCACAGAATGGTCCAGGCCATCTTGGTAGGCCAGAAGGCCCAGGGCAGAGCTGTGGGAGGGTGGCAGCCAGCCTGGGCTCCAGGCGGCCTGGAGGGCGGAGGTCCTGGACCATTTTGGATGAAACCCAGTGGCCACGTTTTCTGTGCTCAGCTCCCCGGATACCGCCGGACAAGAGGATCTTCACCACACGGCACACGCCCAGCTGCCTCTTCCAGGATGTGGATGAAAGGTGAGGTCAGGACCTGAGGAAAGTGGGCGGCCGGGGCTGAGGCCATGGCCAGGCTGATGCCTCCTCCCATTTCAGGGCTGCCCCACTGCTGGGCTACCTCCCCCAGGACCTCCTGGGGGCCCCAGTGCTCATGTTCCTGCATCCTGAGGACCGACCCCTCATGCTGGCCATCCACAAGAAGAGTGAGTCCTCACCCTGCTTCTCCTTCCCGGCCGTCTCAAGGCTTCTGAGCGGTGCCAGTCCCGGGGCCTGACTCTCCTGAGGCTCCAGCGGGGTGGCTTCGCCTTCCTCAGCGCCCCCTCCTTCCTGCTGAGCCTCCCCTTATTTCCCTTCAGTCCTGCAGCTGGCCGGCCAGCCCTTTGACCACTCTCCCATTCGTTTCTGCGCACGTAACGGGGAGTACGTTACCATGGACACCAGCTGGGCTGGCTTCGTGCACCCCTGGAGCCGCAAGGTGGCGTTTGTGCTGGGCCGCCACAAAGTCCGCACGTGAGAGGCCGAGAGCAGAGCGGGCGCTGGGAGGTGGGGCGGTTTGGAGGGGGTAGGGTTTGACACACCCTTCCTCATCCCACAGGGCGCCCCTGAATGAGGACGTGTTCACTCCTCCAGCCCCCAGCCCTGCTCTTTCCCTGGACCCTGAGATCCAGGAGCTGTCTGAGCAGATCCACCGGCTGCTGTTACAGGTGAGAGCTGGGGAGAGGGGGCCTGGACTGGAGGAAGGGGTGGGCTGTAGGGCTACGGACGCCTCACCTGCTCCTCTCCCTGCCTCAGCCCGTGCACAGCCCCAGCCCCCCGGGGCTCTGTGGAGTCGGCCCGGTGACTTCCCCAGGCCCCCTCTTCAGCCCTGGCTCGTCCAGTGACAGCAATGGGGGTGACGCCGAGGGGCCTGGGCCTCCTGCCCCGGTGAGTGCTCTTTCCCACTGCGCCCCTCTAGCCGCCCGGTCCCCTTGCTTTTTGGAATCGGCATTGCCAATCCCAGGCTCACCCCCCTCCTTTCTCCTGCTCTCCTCATGGCCTCCATGCTTACCCACAGGGGTGCACTGTGCCCGGCACCCCTGCCACCGGCCAGGCTGCCCAGTGCTGCCCACTGCCCTGCTCTGCCCCACAGGTGACCTTCCAGCAGATCTGTAAGGATGTGCATCTGGTGAAGCACCAGGGGCAGCAGCTCTTTATCGAGTCCCGGGCTCGGCCTCTTCCCCGGCCCCGCTTCCCTGGTGAGTTGGCAGGGGTGTCGGTGAGGGTGCGGGTGCGGGTGCGAGTGCGAGTGCAGGTGGGGGAGCGGGTGGGGGTGTGAGTGCGGGTGCGGGTGCGAGTGCAGGTGGGGGAGCGGGTGGGGGTGCAAGTGCGAGCGGGTGCGGGTGCGGAGTGAGACTGCTGGTCTGACCTTCACCCCAACCAGAAGCTTTCTTCTCTCCTTTCTCCCTGGCTCAGCTATAGACACAGTCAAGGCCAGGACCCTTTCCTGCCAGTCCCCAGACCCAGAGCTGGAGGCAGACCCTGCTCTAGTCCCAGCCCCGCCCGCTGTGGCCCCTGGGGAGGCTGAGCCGAAAGAAGCCTCCAGTTGCTCCTACCAGCAGATCAACTGCCTGGACGGCATCCTCAGGTAAGGCTGGTCTGCACCTCCTTCCACTGCACTGGTCTTGCCCCTCCGGGCCCTGCCCTCATGTCCTGTGTGTTGCCAGGTACCTGGACAGCTGCAACATCCCAGGCACCACCAAGCGCAAATGTGCCTCCTCCTCCTCCTGCTCCGCCTCCTCGGCCTCTGATGATGACAAGCAGAGGACAGGTCCAGTCTCTGTGGGAACCAAGAAAGGTAAAGACCAGTGCCTGTCCCGCTCCCACTGCCCCGTGCTGGCCTGCTGGCCTGTGTCTCCCCCCTCTGCCTGTGGGCCCCCCACCTTGCTCTGCCTGTCCCCCTCCCAGTCTCCAGATCCTCCCTACCATCCATTCCTCCCCCTCCTCCCTGGGACTCCTCTCCTGAATGGTGGGGCAAGTGGTGGTAACTGGTGCCATCTCTCCGCACAGATCAGTCGGCAGTGCTGTCGGGGGAGGGGGCCCCCCCTCGGAAGGAGCCGGTGGTGGGAGGCGCCCTGAGCCCGCTCGCCCTGGCCAATAAGGCGGAGAGCGTGGTGTCCGTCACCAGTCAGTGTAGCTTCAGCTCCACCATCGTCCATGTGGGAGACAAGAAGCCCCCGGAGTCGGGTATGGCTTGGGCTTGGAGTAAGGGGGAGTACCAGCTCCCTTTGGCCCCCTAGCCAGTTCCCCACCTGCCTTTCCACCCCCTCTGCCCTGATGGAGAGGAGGAGGCTCTGCTCAGCATGGGGCTGCCGCTCCTTGCCTCCATCCCACCGGCCTTTGCTCCTTTGTCTTCCCCCACCCTGCTTCCCCTGTCTTCCTGTCAGTTCACAAAGTATGGGTGGGTCATCCCCCAGGTACTGACCACAGACGGTCGGAAGCAGGGACTTAGAAAACCCTGAAGGACAGTGACCTGGAAAATGTGGGAGAGAAGGGCAAGGGGTGGGCTTCCCTCTGAGAGGGGTGGAGGGTGTCATCCTGGGGGAGTGCCCTGAGGGGACTGGGTACCCTCTGTCCTCCGGGGACAGCGTTGCCCAGAGGAGAGGGCCCAGAGCCAGTCCCCGGCGGGGAGGGGCCCAGCGTACACACAGGGCCCAGGCCCGTGGGGCCGAGGCCAGGGGTTGGCTAAGCTATCGGACAGGGGAGGTGTGGTGTGGTGTTAACTCTTGAGGTGATTCTGATGATCATTCCCCCATCTCGCCCTCCTCAGACATCGTCATGATGGAGGACCTGCCTGGCTTGGCTCCATGCCCAGCCCCCACCCCCACAGCAGCCCCTGACCCAGTCCCAGATGCCTACCGCCCTGTGGGCCTGACCAAGGCCATGCTGTCCCTGCACACACAGAAGGAGGAGCAGGCCTTCCTCAGCCGCTTCCGGGACCTCAGCCGGCTGCGTGGACTCAATGGCTCCTCCATGGCTCCCTCGGCCCCTGGAGAGCGAGGTAGCCAACCTTCACCTCTCTGAGCTGCCCTCTGCCAGTGTAGAATCGGACTGTTTCGGGGATGGGTTTTTTGAGGGAGATGTTCCTGCTCCAGAGACCCAGACTCCTACTGCCTCCACACCTGGGCCGTAGGCCCTGGGCCCTGCCTGGGGCCGGCCCTTCGTTAGGTCTCCCCACTGGGCCAGGAACCAGGCTGCGGCCAGAGGGCAGCACGGGGGCTGAGGTGCTCTGCGTCAGGTCCAGCCAGGGGACAGGGACAGAAGGTGTGCCCTCTTAGACTCAGTTGTCACTGAGTGAGAGACGTACACAGGCCTGGCAGTGTGGCTCAGTTGGTTGAATGTTATCCTGTGCACCAAAAGGTCGCCAGTTCAATTCCTGACCAGAGCACAGGCCCAGGTTGCAGATTTGGTCCCAGTCAAGTGTGTATAGGAGGCAGTCGATCATATCGATGTTTCTCTCTCTCTCCTCTTTCTAAAATCTGTAAACACATATTTTAAAAAAATATATTTTATTGATTTTTTACAGAGAGGAGGAGAGAGGGATAGAGAGCTAGAAACGTCGATGAGAGAGAAACATCGATCAGCTGCCTCTTGCACACTCCCTACCGGGGATGTGCCTACAACCAATGTACATGCCCTTGACTGGAATTGAACCTGGGACCTTTCAGTCCGCAGACCGATATCGGCAGTAAACACATATTTTAAAAAAGAGAGGGATCTATACAAACTCAGGGCCAAATCTAGGCAAGGAGACTCCAGTGGAGTCAGGCTTCAAGAGGCAGGCAGCAGCCCAGCAGTGACAGGGAGGCCTCCTGTAGGCGGACACAGGGCTCAGGATCGGCTTTCCTGCCTATGTCTTTGCTTCATCAAGAGCTAGGCAGAGCGTGGCCTTGACTGGCAGAAGGAGCGCCAACACTGGCAGCACCTGAGGGAACTTGATGCATGGACAGAAGCCTCCCACCCATTCGTTTATGGACCACCCTGCTCCTCCCATCGGCCAGTGCCTCTCCTGCACACCCAGCTCAACCCCTCAGCCCTCATGTAACCTTTCCTCCCCCGCTCCTTTCTCAATAAACCCCCTGTCCTGCCTCCTGTGATTCTTGCCTGGAGGCTCCCACCTCCCCAGTCCCCTCTGTGCAGGCCGAGAAGCTACACGTCTAGGGCTTTCGCCCGCCCTCTCCCTTGTTAGAATGGCAGGGCAGTGAGTGTGCAGGGGCGCCAAGCCCACATGGAGGCCCTCCCTAACCCTGGTCTCTCCCCACAGGCTGCCACCATGGCCGCACGCCCCCCAGCCGCCGATACCACTGCCGGTCCAAAGCCAAGCGCTCACGTCACCACCAGACCCCTCGGGTGGAAGCCCCCTGCTATGTCTCCCACCCCTCACCTGTCCCACCCTCTGCCCCTTGGCCCCCCCCACCAGCTGCTACTCCCTTCCCAGCTGTGGTACAGCCCTACCCCCTCCCAGTATTCTCCCCCCGAGAGGGTCCCCAGCCTCTTTCCTCGGCCCCCACATCTGTGTCCCCTGCAGCTTTTCCTGCCCCCCTGATGACCCCAGTTGTAGCCTTGGTGCTACCTAACTATCTGTTCCCTACCCCCTCCAGCTATCCCTATGGGGTCCCTCAGACTCCTGCCGAGGGTCCCCCTACCCCTGTGTCCCACTCCCCTTCTCCGTCCTTGCCCCCGCCAGCCCCCAGCCCTCCCCGCCGCCCAGACTCTCCACTCTTCAACTCACGGTGCAGCTCCCCACTCCAGCTAAACCTGCTGCAGCTGGAGGAGTCCCTCTGGGTGGAGGAGGGTGCTGCCGCAGGGGCCCCTGGGAGCAGTGCTGGGCCCCTGCCTCCCAGTGAGGAGACTGCCGAGCCAGAGGCCAGGCTGGTGAGAACGGGTCCCCGCATCCTCTTCCACAGCCCTCCCTGTGCTCCTCCTCTCCTCACTGCTTCCTGCCCTCTGCCTGCACCTCATCTCCAGAAGGTGGCGTGGGCGGTGGGAGACCCCAGCTGAGTCTGCCTGCCTGTGCAGGGGGACAGTCCTGTCTGTCTGACAGGCGGTGTGGACAGCCCAATAACCTCTGAGCGTGCATGTGCCACTTGGAAATGGTTCAGCGTCATGTCCCTACTCTTCGCCAGCTCTCTGCGCTCTCATTCCCGTCCCAGTGTCGTGGGTCAGATCAAAGGCCACTTGGCTTGGGTGTGCTCCCCAAACGGTGGAAAGTGGAAGCAGTTGAAGGGAAGCCCAGGTGTTGATCCCTTAATTTTTCTCGGCCCCCCCATCCCCAACAGGTGGAGGTAACTGAGTCCTCCAATCAGGACGCACTTTCGGGCTCCAGTGACCTCCTGGAATTGTTGCTGCAAGAAGACTCTCGCTCGGGCACAGGCTCTGCTGCCTCAGGCTCCTTGGGCTCTGGCTTGGGCTCTGGGTCTGGTTCAGGCTCCCATGAGGGGGGCAGCACCTCAGCCAGCATCACACGTGAGTGCCTTTTAGGTAGAGCAGTGACTGGGGAGTTAAGAGTCCAGGCCCCACGTTGGTGGGCAGCCTGGGCCATGCCCTGCTTAGGCTCCTAAGGCCAGTGGGCTGGACATGGGGCCTTGAGGGAGGTGGGCGTGCCAGCTGGCCTGACTCCATTGGTTGGCACCCTGCTTTATAGGAAGCAGTCAGAGTAGCCACACAAGCAAGTACTTCGGCAGCATCGACTCTTCGGAAGCGGAGGCTGGGGCTGCCCAGGCCAAGGCTGAGCCGGGGGACCAGGTGATTAAGTACGTGCTCCAGGATCCCATCTGGCTGCTCATGGCCAACGCTGACCAGCGTGTCATGATGACCTACCAGGTGCCCTCCAGGTGAGGAGTTTGAGGCCTTCTTGCCATCCTTTCGAGAGGTGGAGAAGGTGGCCCACCCTCACGCCCCAGCTAACTCGGGGTTTTCTTTTCTGGGGCTGGCTCTCCTCTGTGGCTCTCCGTCCTGTCCCCTGCCTGTTGGAGCCCTCTCATTAGTTCCTCCAGGGCTGAGGGCAGCTCTCCTGGTCTCAGAAGCCCTGAACTCCTCAGGGGAGGAGCATGAGGCAGTGGGTGGGGAGCTGTGGTAGAGGAAGAATGCCAGCCTCATGGGCCCTGGCCCCACCACCCAGCTTTGACCTCTGAACCCCCTCCTGCAGGGACATGGCCTCCGTGCTGAGGCAGGACCGGCAGCGGCTCCGGGCCATGCAGAAGCAGCAGCCTCGGTTCTCGGAGGACCAGCGGAGGGAGCTGGGTGCCGTGCACTCCTGGGTCCGGGAGGGCCAGCTGCCTCGGGTCCTTGATGTGATGGTGAGAGGAGGAATCTGGGCCAGGAGGGAGGAGAGCGAATTGAGCTCAGGTCAAGAGGATAGAGGCTAAGGGCTGATTCCCTTTATTGTCGCTGGATTATTCTAAAGAATCTTGATTTTACTGAGTTTGCTGCTGGGTTATGTAGTAGTAAACCACATGTGTTTTTGTAGATCTTCTCTGGGCCAATTCTATGCTACTGACCATTGTGACTGCCCCACAGTGGGGCCTGGGTCAGGGTACAGTGGAGTTTCCAGTCTTGGCCCACATGCCTCTGTGGACTATGTTTCCTCGGAGTGTATTTTGGGAAGTGCTCAGGGGTAGTGGGTTATCAGTGGGAGAACCTTGCCTGACTCACTCACCCCCTCTCCCTCCAAGGCCTGTGTGGACTGCGGAAGTAACACGCAAGACCTTGGCCACCCTGAAGACCCCCTCTTCTCAGGACTGGATGGATTGGGGCTGGAGCCCATGGAAGAGGGTGGAGGCGAAGGTGGCAGAGGCAGTTGTGAGGATGAGGGCGGAGATGAGGCCCAGGCCCAAGCTGGGGCTGGGGTCTCAAGCTCTCAGGACCAGGCCATGGAGGAGGAGGAACAAGGTGGGAGCTCGTCCAGCCCAGCCTTACCTGCCACAGAAAATGGCGCCAGCTAAACTGCATTTGGGGGCCACCTCCAGGAGTGCATGAGAAGCTTCTTCCACATCCAACTCTCAGAACTCAGATGTGGCTGGACCAACCAGCAGCAAACTGGCCCAGCTTCTCCCGCTGTCGGGGGCTGGACCCCCATCACATCAGCCCAGGATCCAGGGTGCCTCTGGCCTCTAGGGAACAAGGGGTGGAATCTGCAGAGAAGCCGCAGCTGCCACCCCTGCTGAGTCCCTCCTCCCTGGACAGGGTTGCTGGCAGGCTGCTGCCGTGGCCTCTCCATGTTCCAGCTGAGCCCTAATCCTGGGAACCAAGGGTTGGGGCTGCACTTATTTATTGGGGGAGGAGTCCTCTCCTGCCTCTTCCCCCGATGGGAGAGGAGGGCCCGAGGCTCCAGCAGGAGCCGGTGGTCCGAACCTCTAGCTGCTCCAGGTGGGGGAGGTTGGAGGACCATGGGGTCCTTGGTGCTGCCCTCAGGTGGGACCCAGGCGTTCTCAGCTGTACCCTCTGCCTATGACATTTGTGTTTTTGATATTGTGTCTCTTAATATTTTTTAATACAAAAACAAAAAATAAAAATAAAACACAGGGCTTTGTGGAATAAAGTCTGGGGTTGGGTAAGGGGAGGTCTTGGGGAGGAGGTGGCTTTCTGTCCCACCCCTGCCTGTGGGAGCCCTGCTTCCAGGAAGGTGGTAGTGAGAGAGCAGTTCCCGTCCCTCTTCTCCCCACGCCCGTTTTCACTGAGGGGCTATGCTGAGCCTGCTGAATCTCCACCTACTTCACAGCCGCTCTCACTCTAGCATGGCCTCAGCTCCTTTGTCCAAGGAGGGAGGCATGAGAAGCAAGCACCATGGTGGGTCAGCAGGTTGGGTGTCCTGAAGCAGTTGAGGACTTCTGACTTCTTTGTCACCGCACAGGAGAAGGCCTGAAGGTGTCAGTGGCTAAGGGGAGGAGTCACCAACCCATGCATGGTCAAGTTGGCCCCCAAAAATGTGGAAGGAAGAGGGGCGGAGCATTAACTTTGTGGTTCAGATCGCAAAACCTTTGGGAAGGAAAACCTTTGAAAGGGATGAGCCACTGCCGGCTTGGGGCAGCCATTGTTCTGTAATTGGCTTTACCGGCCACATGAATAGTTCTATCTGCAGATGTACCAGCCTGGCATCGGCACCATGGCTTAGCTGGTCAAAGCTCTTGTCTGGCTCTGGCTGGGTAGCCTATTTAGAGCATCAGCCGTGTACACCAGCGTTGCCCTGGGATCCCTAGTCAGGGCACATAGAAGAATCAACAAATGAACGCATAAATAATTGGAAAGACAAATCAGGGTCTCTCGCTCTTCCTTCCTCTCTCAAATCAATAAGTAAAATAAAGGGCCTGCGTAAAAAGGAGACCCTGGATTCGAATCCTAGTGGTACCTGGCCCAGGTGACAGCATATTATTGCTGAGGGGCGAATGCATTTCCGCCTCTTCCAAAAGGCTTCTCGCAATCGCGCATCCCTTTGCTTTGAAGGGTTTGGGCCGATTTGGGCTTATTTTGTTGGGGCCATATTTGGCTCCGTGCGAGGAAGGAGGGAAGGAAAGTTGCGCCCATAGGGCTGCTGATGCCTGATGCAAAGCAGGTGCGGCCAGCAGCATCCAGTTCAGGTCCATATGCACAAACATCTCGAGATAACCGGGTGGAGGCGGACAGAACCGGCCAGGGGCAAACCTCTTTATAGACAGCTATAGTTGTGCAGGCAGTGGGCTCCTTGTGGCTGTGATGGCCGAGTGGTTAAGGCGTTGGACTCGAAATCCAATGGGGTCTCCCCGCGCAGGTTCGAATCCTGCTCACAGCGCCAGAAGTTTTGAAGAAGAGTCATTTGGTAGTTTGTTTTCCCAGTGATTTCTTTCCTTGGAGAAGATCCTGCATTTATTCTAGAACTCTCAGACTCAATCACCGGTGACCACTCCATAAACTCCCTCTTGCAGGCTTTACACTCCTTGCTACATTTCTGAAGGCTGTGTCCTGTGGAAGTCTTTTAACTGCCAATTTGAATTCATAATTCCACCAAACTCAGGTGATTCCTCAAGTCCATTGATCAATCGTATTACATTTCCATAATTCATTCACCTTGCAACCGTTCTATACTATTTCATTCCCTCTCCTTTCACTCCAAACCATAAATCCCTGCATCCCCCCTCAGTTTTATTTTTCTGTTTCACTGAGAAAAGAAGGCATTCTGAAGAGATTTTCCCATCGATATCCACAATCTCACCTACCTGCCTCCTTACCTACCTACCTACCTACCTGTCTGTGGCCACATACTCTCCCTTTCCCTCAGTACTGAATGCAAAGCAGGTGCGGCCAGCAGTATCCACTTACCACCAACCTCTGCACTTACTAGATCTCCATTTCCCTCTGGCCCACAAGGGCTCACGAATATTGCTCTTTTCCATACCATCAAGTTTTTCCTCCCTAACTGGATTATTTCCACCAGCCTACAGACTAAAATGTATTCCAATTTAGAATAAGCAAGACAACAAAAGCTATCTTGACCTCATGTCCCCCCTTCATCTATCACTCCATTTCTCTGTTACCCTCTCCTGCGACTCATTATACCCAATGTCTCCAACTCCCTTTTCTTAGTCTCCTTTGAACTCTCTCTAATCGGGTGCTCCTGCCCCCATTCATCAAAGCTGCTTTCGTTGAGGTTACCAAATGACCAATTGACACAGATGCTTACTCCCTCTGAGAAATACTCCCTTCACTCGCCTTCTCTTCACCACACTCTTCTGATGTTCCTTCTAGGTCATTAGCAGTTCATTCACAAGCTTCTTTGCTGACTCTTCTGGATCTCTAAATGTTGGGGTGTTCCCAAGGCTCAATTTTCCAACCTCTTTTCTATCTGTACTCACTCCTTTAGTGATCTCCAGCATCAGGACTTTACATATCAACTAGTGATACATTAATACATACAAAATTCTCATCTCTAGCTCCAGAACTGTTCCCTGAGTTACAGATGTAGTATTGCTTACATGTCATTTCCATTTGAATATCTAATAGGCAATTATAAACTTAAAATGTCCAAACCAAACTCCTGATGGGTCTTCCCCAAACCTGCTCCACCTATAGTCTTTCCATCTCAATTAATAGAAATTCCATTTCTGTAGTTGGTCAGGCTAAAAACCTTAGGATCATCTGTGATTTTTCTCTCATACTCTGTACATTGAATGTCAGCAACTTCTTATTTAAAATATGTAAAAAAAAAAAAATGGACTACTGCATCACTACACCCTAGCCCATACCACCCTCATCTTCACCAGATTATCTGCTCTTGTTTCTTGTATCCTTACAGTCTATTCTGAACACATTGAGCAAAGTGATTTAAAAAAAATTATTTTGGTTAATCCTTACCTGAGGATATTTTTCCATTGGTTTTTAGAGAGAGTGGGAAGGAAGGAGATAGATAGATGTGAGAGAGACATATTAACTGTTTGCTCCCTCCCTCTGCACTAGCCCAGTGGATCAGGGATCGAACCTTCAGCCCAGTTACATGCTCTAGGCCAGGAGTGGAACCCAAGACCTTTTGGTGTGTGGTTTAATGCTCTAACCACTGGGCACAAAGTGATTCTTTGTAAAAAAATAAAATAAAATAAAATAAAATAAATAAAAATGTTCATTCCTCTCTTCTTTCAATGGGGTATCTATGAATTTCTTGTTTTTAATATATAGATTAAGAAATAAATGCAGCTGAACCGGTTTGTCTAAGTGGATGGAGCGTCGGTCTGCGGACTGAAGGGTCCCGGGTTCGATTCCGATCGGGGGCATGTGCATTGGTTGCAGGCGCATTCCCGTTGGGAAGTGTGCAGAGGGCGGCTGGTCGATGTGTCTCTCTCATCAATGTTTCTAACTCTCTATCCCTCTCCCTCTCTGTAAAAAACCAATAAAATATATTTTTTTTAAAAAGAAAGGAAAAGAAACAAATGCAGCCCTAGCCAGTTTGGCTCAGTGGATAGAGCGTCGGCCTGTGGACTGAAGAGTCCCAGGTTTGATTCTGATCAAGGGCATGTACCTTGGTTGCGGGCACATCCTCAGTGGGGGGTGTGCAGGAGGCAGCTGACCAATGTTTCTCTCTCATCGATGTTTCTAATTCTCTACCGCTCTCCCCTTCCTTTCTGAAAAAAAAAAAAATCAATGAAAATATTAAAAGGAAGAAATGCAGCCCTAGCCAGTTAGTCACCTGCTAATCAATATTCCACTAAAATCTCCAGGTTCTAAAGTAAATAGTTTTTCCTTGTTTGAAGAAAAACATATGATTAAAATAATATTCTTTAAATGTTAAAGAAAAGATTCTTCCAGATTAAATAAGACTGAAGAGACATAACAACTAAATGCAACATGTGATCCTGGATTGGGAAAAAGAGCTTATGGGATGTCATTGAAACCCTTGAGGAAATCTGAATATGGATTGGGGATTAAATGATAGTATTATATTAATTTTAATCTCTTGATACTGATAGTTGTCCTATTACATACTATTCTGCTAGAAATGTCCTTGTTCTTAGGAAACACATACTGAGTTTGTGTTCAGAAAAGAAATATTTTCTATTTAGAGGGCAGTGATAAAGCAAAGGGAGCAAACGTAAACAGTTAATAGACCTGGGAAAAGAGTCTGCAGGCATTCTTTTATTATTATTGTAACTTTTTAAAAAATATATATATATTTCTTTATTGATTTCAGAGAGGAAGGGAGGAGAGAGAAAAAGAAACATCAGTGATGAGAAAGAATCATTAATTGGCTGCCTCCTGCACACCCCTTACTGGGGATCAAGCCTGAAACCCAGGTATGTGCCTGTGGCTGGAATCGAACCTGGGACCCTTCAGTCTGAAGGCTGATGCTCTATCCACTGAGCCAAGCCAGCTAGGGCTGTAACTTTTCTTAAAGTTTAAAATTATATACAAATTAAAAGAGCCAAAAAAACAAAAAAGCAGAGAAAAGGCCTTTTAATGGCTTCTCATTTCACTGAGAGATGAGTGAGTCCTGACAAAGTCTTCTCAGCGGCCTCGCTGGTCCTTCCTAATCAGCCTTCCCATGGTGGCTCCCATCTCACCTCCTACAACTTCTGCACTCGCTGCCTCCACTCCAGCCAGGCCTCTGCAGGCCCTGCTGCTCTCTGCTCTTCTGACAAACCAGGCGTGCTGCCCCTCAAGGCCTTTCTGAGCACCAAACCCCTCTGCCTGGAGTGTTCTCCCCACAGGCACTCCTGTAGTTTGACCTCTCACCTTACATTTCACCTGAATGAGTCCTTCATGATCTAAAATTGTAGTCCTCATTCTCCACTCCCTGCCTCACTTTCTTCCTAGCACCTATCACCACCCAACAAAAGATAAGTGTGTACAATGTTCATTTGACTGTTTCCCCCACAAAAAGTGTCTGACTCAGAAGAGCAAGGAGTATTGTTTGTTTTGTTTGGGGCTATAGGAAGGTCTATCCTATCCTGATTCTTCCTTTGGCCCAGAGGCTTGGTCCTCCTACTTCCGAACCCCCAACTCCCAGGATCCAATCAGGTGTCTTCAAACTGGGCCACATGCGGCCCGCAGAGGAGTCTGATC